TTTGAACACACTCTGGTTAAAGTGTTTCTAATACTGAAGCTGCAATTACAGTAAGTGACAGACATCCACAGTCTAGTTGCAGACCACATCAGACATTTGTGTGTGTGTGTGTGTGTGTGTGTGTGTGTGTGTGTGTGTGTGTGTGTGTGTGTGTGTGTGTGTGTGTGCGTGTGCGTGTGCGTGTGCGCGTGTGCCTCGCTCTATTAAATTTCGAATAATCCCTCTCATTTAGCCATCCGGTTAAATCGAACCCGTCTCCTTCTCCTATGTCCCCCGCCCAGGAGGTGAGCTACTGCCAGGGGATGAGTCAGATTGCTGCCATTCTGCTCATGTACCTGAATGAGGAAGATGCCTTCTGGGCTTTGTCCCAGCTCCTCACCAACGGAAAGCACGCCATGCACGGTAAGACACGGAGGAAGAAATGGAGGCCGACGTAAAAAAAGCACGGCTTGTAATATTAAACATCCAGTATAATAATGCCTCTCTTGGAAAAGGACAAAAATCTGTTTACGCTGTGCTTATGTTGACTAATGTGTAGACAAATGTGGATGATATTTTGTCAAAGAGGAGACCATTAGGTTCTGTTGCCTGGAGGAGGAATTACCTCAGTATTGTGCTTCAGAGCTGGAATGACGTTCAAAGTTCATGAAGTTCGAAATGTTTAAAAATGCATTTCTGTTCAACGTAACAATTGTCTCTATAGAAATGCTGGTGTACAGCATTCTTTACTTCCTAAAACTACTGCCATCCTGTTCAATGCAAACTCCCTTAGTAGTTCTCAGTAACCTTTTATCAAGTCACATAAGTGGAAATACTTTTTCATTTGTAAATTTCATTTTTTATTATGCTAGGCTTCTTCATCCCAGGATTCCCCAAGCTGCATCGTTACCAAGCCCACCATGAGCTGATCCTCTCTAAAATGCTGCCAAAGCTGAAGAAACACATGGTCAGTTAAAGTACATCAAGTCAAGTCATTTATTCTGCCAAAGATTTGTAACGGGCAGCAGATTACTGCAGTGAGATCTATTGATGAAGATGCATGCATTATAAATAAAACGTATAATTATTATTATTACATAGAGTATTGTCCTTCATTCTCACCCCACAGGACAAGGAGCAGATGACAACAGGGATTTATACCACCAAATGGTTTTTGCAGTGCTTCATTGACAGAGTGAGTGTTTTTGATTTCCCAAACTTCCCGAGCCTTCCTTCCCGCTTCCATCTCTTTGAACACCGAACTACATCTGGTGTGGTTTTTGTCCCCTTTTTATTTTTTTAATCCACCGCTGTCTGTCTTACATAACAGACCCCGATCACCCTTACCCTGCGTTTATGGGACATCTACATCCTGGAGGGGGAGAAGATCCTAACTGCCATGGCTTATACGACGCTCAAGCTACACAAGAGTGAGTACGAGGACGACCACGTTCCCTCTGGTGCGCCGCGGTGTTGAGCGAGTCAAACCGGTTTCATGCAGGTACGGCCGTGGCTGCTGCTGCTCCGAGTGTGTCATCGCACGCTGCCTGCCGCTCGGCTGCCTCCTAACTGGCTTACGTAATGCCAGTGGGCAGTTGCTGTGGAGAAGAACCAAGAGGCTGACTTTTCATTGGACGCCTGCTTGAGCGTCGCCTCAGCGTGTACATCTCGCTTTGTGTGTTGATGTTTTAGTCTTAACGATGTCATTTGTATTCATATGTCGGGGTTCAGTCGACGTGTCACATAGACTTGCATCATCCGTTCCGAGTTAACTTCCTTTGTCCTATCAGAGCGGCTGCAGAAGATGCCGTTGGAGGATCTGAGGGAGTTTCTTCAGGAGCAGGTCGCGGTGTCTTTCTTCCTGCCCGATGATGTGGTGGTTGAGCAGTTACAGGCAGCAATGTCTGAACTTCGCAGTAAAAAGCTCAGCAATCCTCCTCCAGGTGCACTCGTTTTCCTTTATTCATTATATTATCACGGATAAAAGTTCATTCTCGACCAAAAGTAACACTCTGCTTTTGTTAACAAACATTCCCTATTCTCCGTCTCCTTGTCTTTAGCCAAGCCAGAAGAGCAGCCAAAGGCACCTCTGGGTCAAGAAAGACCAATTCTCCTTGTGCCTCCGCAGCCTGACTCCCCTCTGGAGGTCAAAGTAAATCCGCAGCCCGTGGGTCAACGGGACGCTGAGGCCCAGCAGGCGGACGGCATCGCTCCACAGCAGACACAGGACCCCGGAACTCTGTCTCTGCCGTCACCTGACACGCTCGTAGTCCACACACAGAGGACGCCTTCTCCCTTGAGGCATTGCAGAGCCCCCCCGTTACCTCCGAAAGAACACAAACCCCATGCCGGGGCAGGACTGGACGGAGGCGCGAAGGAGGCGCTTCTGGGTGTTGGCCCGGCCAAAATTGTCGCAAGTCAGGCCGCTGACCCCGAGGAGGATCCGATGGATTGGCCCCCACCTTACGAGCCCCCTGCTTTGGAAGCTCTGCCGCAGGAGATTGTGGACCTGCCAGATCTGCCCCCTCCACCTTTCTTCTACACTGAGCAGAACGACCAGAGCCACGGGGACGGCGGACCCCCCGGTCCGGAGACCCGGCGGCGCTCTCCCTCTCCTCGCTCGGCCCCCTCAGCAGTCACTCAGATGAAGCTGCCGCCAAAGCCGTGCTTAAAACTCCCCACGTCGCTTCAGCTCGCCCAGAAAGGAGCTCCTCCCGCTCACCCTGCCTTCGCCACCTCCTCCCCTCCCAGACTTCCTCCCCCTAAGCCAACCAAGTTCCCAGTCTCTCTGTACGTCCCGATGCCCACCGCAGACCGACGGCCCTCCAACACCTCCCAGTATGACAACCTTTCCGAGGCCGATGACGACGACACCCTCCTGGAGAGGCTGCTGGGCTCCACTCCTGAGGAAATCCCCAGCATGCACCGCGGTGCCCCGCCGGCCGCTGGCCGAGATTGTGACGCTGCCCTCCACCCTGTGCCTCCTCCTCCCCTGTTCGCCCCCCCTTCGCCCTCTCCCATTCGCCCCTCGCCGTGCGGCCTCCCCAGTCTGCCTCAGGAGCCGGAATACGAAGGGGAGGACAGCTGGGTGGACGACTCCATCATCCCTCCTCCTCCGGCTAATTTTGCCGACAGACTCAGTCCCTTTCAGTGTGGTGCTGCCGGCTGTTCAGACACACAGCAAACCACCTCGCCGCCCGGATACTCCAAGCCTTTCTCCAGGGCCCCACGGGACCGCTCGGCTTTCCCAGCACCCCTGCTGTACACCAGGTCTCCCCCGGGCCACTCGGCGGTAGGAGTGTGCACGGTCCGATCCAGCCCGGACTTTTGCAGGATGCCGCCGGGTGGTCAGCCGCTGCCCAAATCAGTGACCTATTAAGTGTTTGTTTTTTTGTATCCCTCATTATACCAATAGTCACGTCTGTTAGTTCTTCTTCATTTTAATACCATGAAGTGAAAAGCCAGTAGAGAACAAGAGAAAGCGAGAGTGTGTCTGTCAGAGAAAGGACTTAATCGATATGTACAAATTACATACTTGCACTTTTTTTTTTTGTTGGGAAGTGTCAAACTTAATGTATTTAAAACTGCTGTCTGTTACCCATTACCGTTCGCCTCACAACAAGAAGCGACTGTGTTTTCTTACCTGCTCTCGTTCCACCGTTGCTTCGTTTCGTTCCAACTGAAGTGTCTTAATCTGATCGCAGTACACTGAGGCTGCATCTCCAGCACGAGGGCTTTTGAGGCTGCAGAGTACGGTCATCTTTGCTGGAGCACCCAAAGCCTGTTAATATATTTATACTGCTTTTTATGGTAAACTGTGAGCAGGGCTTGAACATCTGTAAGTACACCAAACTGTAATAGGTAATAGAGAAAAGGTTGTGTCACGGTTTACCGTATCTCTTAAGGTCAATAGTTGATGAAACAGTTTGTACAAATGCAGTTTGCATGCAGGCCTCTGAAGAACTTTGAGGTTGTGACAACCAGTCACAGGAAAGATGTGGTGCAATGTGTCACTGGGGTAAATACAGAAAAGTTATTCACATGAAGCCTAGTCAGTTTTTTTTAATTTCAGGCATGTAGTAGTTGGTATTTTGCTGATTATTTATCTTGTAAATTGTCTAGTTGGGGTAAAAGATTTCAACGTATTGTTTGTCTGCCACTTCATGTACTGTTATATGTATATAGATACATTAATATGGTGTTACTAGAAGACTTAAGAGGATTTAATGAATGTGAGACCCTGGTCCCGATATTCATAGAGAGCAGCTCCACCTGGTGGTCAGAAGTGTTACAGGTCAGCAGTAACTGACTTGCGTTCTTAAGAGGTTCTAGTATTTAAGCATGCAGACTTTTAGGAAAACTAGTCCCGACCTCGACATCAAAGCTTCCCGTGATGCCTGTTTGGGATTACGTACATAGTAAGATAGACTTAAAAAGACATGGACGGGCCCTGTTTTATAGTGCAAAAATAATCCATATGCGCCTGTATATCTGAACCATGCAAAGAATGTGGTGTCAGTTTATTTAAACACTTCGATCTGAAGAAATGGAAGTTGAGCCATACGATACTGAATAAGGACCTAATAGTCACGTGTTTATATTGTTACTATGTAAAGTAACCTTTGTCTTTACCAAGAGGTTTTGTAATTATCTAAGTATTCACTTGATTTTTAATGAATTTCCAGGTTATTGCTAAAAATATTTTCTTTACAAAGTGACGTTTTACGGTTTGTGAACTTTAGATGACTTGAAGTATGTTTGGTTTGCTGTAGTCATGTGACCTGTACATCACTGCTCGTTTTGGTGATGCTGGCGCTCGGACCAAAGCTTATGTTCACTTATGCAACTACTTATGAGTTTTTATAAAGAGATAAACCTTAAAATGTCCATTGTCTGCTCTTTCCCACAGAGACAATCCACGTTTCATAAATGTATTGCCCACCCACAAAATCGTGTCGTATCACCACATATTTTAGTATCTGGCAGTCCAAAGTAGACAAAAGAGCAAAGGAAAATCAAATAATGCATTAGAAACGTTAATTCTTATCTGGAAAACAGACGGCAAATAAGGCCTTTAAAATATACGGGCAGTATATCAATGAGTCAACCCTAGTACCTGAATATAATATACAACACCCTGACATTTGTAGAAAGGAACAGGTAGTTTCATCATCTTTAGTAAATGTAGTTCAGTCCAAATTCAACCTACTGACATAAACATTTAAAAACCTCCCCCCATCGGGCTCCTTTAGATGCTTATAGATTGATTATAAAACACTTGAAATACAAGTGTGTTTATAAGATGTTCAATAAGGATTGTTTCTTTACCCACATGTTATACACGGTATCCAACGAGAACATAGGAACCAATCTCATGATTAAACATTAAGGCTTATTGCATCACTTGAAAAGGTTAGTGCAAATTCATCCCAGGCACCGAGCGTCCGGAGCTCGCATGCTCCCCCACCCCGGGACACAGTCCCATCCTTCACATCCGGAGCTGACCCATGAGGCTGCAAAGGGAGGCGACACTTTGTCTCAGTTTGGCGTCTTCCTCCTGCCCCAGCGACACTCCGGCCAAGCGCGTGGAGCCGTTGGATCCCATGAGGCACGGCAAGCTGAGGAAGACCTCTGCGCCGATGCCGCCCCAACCCTGAAGGAGACCACGAAACACGTTCAGTGAATTCATAAAGAAGCTGTCACTTCCATGTTCCGCTTTACGCCACACACGCGCCCGACGCTTTGGTTCTGCCACTCGGAGGTCCTACCTGAGCCAAGGTGGAGACCGAGTGGGTCTTCATCTTATTCGTCAGGACGCTGTCGGCGATGTCGGCGATGGACAGACCCACGGACCACGACCGCTGGCCTCGAGTCTTCATCATCCCGAAAGCTCTGCGGGGCACAGAAGTCCGTAAGTACTTTAACAACGCCTCCGCCCTGCGCGAGCTGCTAGCGGTCGCGCCGGTATACCTGTCTAACAAGGGCTTGGTGGAGTTGGATCCTGCCGCGATCTCCGGCTGCACACCGGAGCTGCTCATCACAGCCACTGCAAGACAAGCACAGAAGGGCCGGGCTCAGTCGCGTGCGCGTTAACGCGTTTTCGTTAACGGCGCTTCAGGAGACGAACGCCGATCGTAGCAGGAAGCTTAGCTGTGGTGGTCAAACCGATACGATCGAAAACAAATGCTAAAGACGATGGGAGGGGAGACAGAGGATTTGTGCAACGTTTCACCTTTGTTGTCCGAAAGCTCTCCTATGACCCAGGCGGGTTTGTGAGTGTTGAGGTTAATGTCCAGGATGTGACTGAGCCGCTGCGAGTCCAGGTTACAGCCCGCGCCGATCACCTGGGTCGGAGGGAGGCCGCTCTGCCTCCAGGCGACGTGGGTCATGATGTCCACTGGAATTTGACGAGAAAGAAAAAACGAAAAATGAAAAAGATTTGGCAACAAAGAGGGGGTCGGTTTCTCAGAGGGACGCGTCTCTGCCCCGCGACACCAACCTGGTTGCGAGGCGATGATCAGCACCGCTTTCGGGCTGTAATGAGCGAGGTTGGGGATGATTCCTCTGTACAGGTCCACGTTAGTCTGGACCACGCTCGCGTACGACTGCTCGCCGCTCCATGCGTTTGCGGTCACCACGACAACCCGGGAGCCCGCAGAGGCGGACAGGTCTGAAAGGGGGCGGTCAGCATTGTAACACAAACGAGAAATAGGCGAAGCTTTAAAAAGAAGGAAGGCAACGGTTCAGAACATTTGTTTTGAATGAGCAAAAGGAAAAGGGGAGGAGTCAAAAGAAAAAATATTCAAAACACTTCAAGCATTCAAGCTGGTTTACATGAACACAACACAGGGTTCGCAGCGTTAAACACACCTGCCACAGCACTACCGCTTTAGTGACACCAAATTGTTATTCGGGGTAGGATTGTCACAATTCCAAACTTATGACATAGACACGATACCCACCGTGAATATCATGATACAATAAATATACCAGTAAAAAATAAATGAAGGCAAAAGGCCTCCCTTGGCTTCCTCGCGGTGAGCCTGCCGGGCAGCGCCGCCTCCTGTCAGTCAATGCTCTGATCGCACGCCGTTTAAAGGCAGGATCCATACAAAGAAGTTTGCAAATGGTATTTAACCTTGTTTTTAACGTCAGAGTTCTGCGGTACCTTTTTAGAATCGACACACTGTGCAACATTAATTCAGGGTATTGTTACCATGAACTTTATTACACACTATGATAATTACGCTATTCAAAAAAAGAAAGCGGTTCACACGTGATGCAAATGCGAGGGGGGATCCGAACCTGATCCGCTACACCGCTACCACTACTACTGGATGCATTGTTTTCGGTGTATCCTCATGAGGGGCAGCCACAGAGCCGATGCTGGTTGTAGATGTATGTTGTTATAGAGGACAGTCACCAGTGACAGTCTCCCCGAGCACAATGCAGGCGTGCTTCCTTCCAAACAGTGTGACTCAGCCAAGAGGCTCGTCGAAACATTATTGAGTGACGGAAAGTGACGTACCTCTGGATACCTCGACCTGGGGCAGACGGAAAATCTCCAGATCCGTGCTGCCGCCCTTGGTCGAGCTGTCGTTGACGTCAATGAAAACAAGTTTGTCCACTTTACACTGGATGGGCATCACAAGGAAAAGTAAATTCATTGTCAGGGAAGTAATTTTTGATACTTATCCAAGATTGTAAAATGTGAAATCAAATACCTTTGATAAAACGCTCATCACCGACGCCATTCCTAAATCTCCTCCCCCGATGACGGACACCTTCTTGTTCATTTGCTCTTGATGGCTGCTTCCACCTGAAATAGAGACACGAGTTAAGCTAATAATAGCACGCAGTATTTTGTTGTTGTCATCAACAGACAAGCTGCATATCAAAAATCAAGCACCGTTGTTGATCTGTATATTAGAAACAAAAGCCAGTAGATCGTGGGGGTCTTTGTTGTCCACGTTGGACTTGGAGGACAGCGGAGGATGCTCCTCAAACTTCACAATCATCTCAGCCAGAAGACTCACCACGGAGGATTTGGGCTGTTGGGGAGCAAGAAAAAAAAACAAAACACACACACACACAGACAAGAACTGATGAGGAACCAGAACCTCTTCCATACAATTTTATATTTCACCCATAAAGTATAAAATCTTACATAATCCCAGTTTGACAGCTCCGGCAGGTGAATCCGTCCTCCTCCGTCAACGTGCTTCCCTTCTCTGATGAACATGTTGGAGGTCGGTCTCAGGAGGCATATGGGAGGAGTGAAGGGGAACGAGTCCATCAACCACAGCTCAATGGGGAAGTTGTAGGAGCGACCTTAGGATGGGAGACACCGGCGTCAGCGGATAATTAGGACTTCACGCTGACATCGCTCTCAGATGGAGCGCCGGGCCGCTCTAGGGTCAGAGGTCAGACTTACCTCCATACTGGACTGGGATGTTACCTAGTAATCTCACAAGATCTTTTTGGGTGTGGTCACTAAATGCTGAAAATGATGAGATGGTCAATCATCGGCAAGATACATGTGAGATACGTAGATGATTTTTGTTCTATGAAAACTCACTGTATGTGCCTGCGGATGGGACTATCCCAGGGTGGATTCGATAGATCTTCTGCAGCTCATCAATCGCAACATCATGGAATTTGTACTAATATCCAGATGTAAAAAGAAAGGTGCACAAACACTATGAGTTTCTGTACATGCATATGCTGCGTTACTTTTCATACAAATAGTAAACTTTACAGTCTAGTAAAGTATTACTTATTTTGCCGTTTAGTTTTTTCACTTGAAAGTCAAATAATCAAATCTCCCAGTGTCACACCGCCTCACTTCAGAAGGTCCTGAGGGGTCTCGCGTTGACATCACTTACCAGAGACACTGCAGAGTTTACCTTGTGGGCAGTGCTGTAGTGGTAAAATTAGAGGTGGGTAAACTCTGAATGTTGTGATCATACAGACCTTGACGCGATGCGAAGCAACGCAACACAAAGCGTCGCGACTCTGTTAGGCTGTCCTGGCTATATTGCATTATGTTATCAGTAAAAGTCATATACAATCAATGACAATGAATACATGTGTTAGTAGTTTATTAAATTTAAGAAAACAGTGAAGAAAAGTATGTCAACACAACAAGACAATTGCAGATTAAGAACTATCTACATACGGAGCCTCCTTTTTACAGTAGTGCCCAGAGGGCCTCCTTGTCCTCCACGTCAGGTCCTGCCTTGCACAGAGGAGCCATGAACCCCAGAACACGCGTTCTGGGGTTCATGGCTCCTCTGTGCTTCTCCTCTCTCTATTGGCTCTGGTGTTTCTCCTCTCCCTGTGCTCTCTGCATCATTGCCTGTCCTCTCACTGCCTGAAAAAATGTTGAATTTAAGAGTTAACCAGTTAAGCAGCCTGTCAATAACACTGATAACATAAGTTAAAGGAACACTCACGTACTACCTATGTCATCATAAATAGCCTACAGCATGTTTTGTTTTCACATTGAGAACTGACTTGTTTTCTAACGCTTACAGGCTACTCTACACCTTTCATGACTTCAAATAATTGATTACGCATATAGGCCTATTCAGTGAAGCAACAGCTTTGCTCCCCGCTCATGATGACAGGGGAGGCAGAGCCTTTGAACATTGACTGGATTTTCTCCTAATTATGAGCGCGCGTCACGTGGCGTTTTTCTTGTCCTTTTACGTGCACGCCCAGCGAACACAGAGGGCGCGGACTACTACCCCCCGTCGGTTCGTTCCGCCCGCAAACGACTACTAACCCCCCCCCCCCCCCGTCGGACCTCTCGACCGGTCCGCGAAATATTGTCTGACATGAAACCGGTCCGTGAGGAAAGAAAGGTTGGGGACCACTGGGCTGATCCACAAAGTGTATGTGCCTCCTGGTTCCTGATTGGTCGCTGCTGCAGCCGCAAGGCACTGATTGGATGCTCACAGACCGTAATACAGCGCAGATGAAAATGATTCAGACTACGGCGTTTATATGTTCAACAATAGGAAACGTAGTCTTAGCTATTTTAAAATTACACCAAGTTTATTTCGGATTATTCCAACGGAAGAATACAAGGCGCAGGGAACTTTGAGGTGCGTAAACGCTATTTCCAAAATTCCAGAGGTGCGTAAACGGCGTTTACGTGCGTTTACCCTCCACTACAGCCCTGCTTGTGGCAGTTTGTGCAGCATCAAAAAAGTAAAATTGTCATCAAAACAATTGATTGGGGGGGTGAGATTGTGATTTAACATGAATTTTCTTGGCAACGACTTTATGATACACGAGGAGATCCATCGGTCCAGGGCGGCGATTTGTAATTCATCCCGAAACCATTTTTGCTGAGTTTGTTTTCGTCTTACGTTGTACATTTTCCGGTAAGTAAGTAAAGCCGGTTCCGCCAGTCGGGTACAGCAGCGTACTTTCACATCGCTGCTCAGCTGGCCGGTATCGACCCGCAGGGGGTTTGAACGTGAAACGCGCTGCTCGTCGGTATCTGACACGACAAGTTGTCGCACTTGAGTGATCGTAACTGACCTTAGAGAGGATCCGCTGAAGTTTCTCCGAGGACAGGTCCATCGGTTGAAGTTCGACAGAGACCGAATCAGGAGGCTTACGGATGTTTGTGTCTCCCGTACGACTTCCAGTCACAATCTACTTCCGCAAACTTTCAAGCGCAGCTAGGCGAAACGACAGACCCCGCCCCCTCCGTCACGTCACGTACGGCGAGCCGAGAGGGAACAAAAGCCACCAATTCGTCAAAGCCCCGGCTGGTCTATGGCAAATAAGTTATTTAACTACGTTAAAAAAAAAACATTTTAGAAACAAGACACCGTAAATTACTGAAACGAAAAATCATAAGTGTTCTATGCACGCTAGTAATGGGGGTTTTATATGTTACTCTGATGCAAAACAATTTAAATAAAACAAGAAGCAATTCTTTATCTGAACTCCCTTTAAAGCACAACACAGTAAGTGGTTTTCTGCATATTTAATGTACTTATAAATCAAAGTTTGTTTAGAAAAATATGCAACAAATCCTGCTGAAAAATAGCATTCCATCATAACTTAATAGTGTCATTGTTAGTTTAAAAAAGAAAAAAAGAAAAGGAGAGAACCACACTTCCATATTTAAAGTTCACAGGTCCTTTCAGAAATTGAGATCACTGCACAGTGGGGGAAATAAATAGGGAAATGTGAGATTGTTTTTGTTGCAGACTAATGCCTGAATGATTTACACATCTTTTGCGTTTGACGTTTTCAGGTTGTCTTTGAAAAACGTTCTTTTCTTTTCCTCTGGAGACATGGCCACGCGTTTAGGTCCAATCATATTTAGAGAAGCAGAGAGAGCAACAGAGGTCGAGGTGGCCACAGTCACTGAGCTTCAACGCAGATCGGCTGTCCCACCTTTCAGGACAAACAGGATGGTTTTTTCATTTCTTTTTATTCCTCTTTTCCAAAAAAAAAAAAAAAAAAAAAAACCCCACAGCCTTCAGTTCTTTTTTTTCCTCTTGGCCTTTAGCATGTTCAGGTCCTCTTGTTCTCTTTTCTCCTCCTCCAGGTCTTCCTGCACAGCCATTCTCAGGCTGAAGAGGAAAAGCACAAAAAGGTACAGAAAAATGACATTAAATAAACAGAATAAATAAACCAGCTCTCCGTACAAAGAGTCCACGTATAGAGACTGATTGATTTATTTTTGTTGTCTCACCTCCTGGCCTCCTCTTTTTGCATATCTCTCCAGCTGCTCTCCATGAATTTAAGTGCGTAGTCACTCTCATCCTTGTACCTGAGGAGGTTGAAAGCAAATCGTCTTTTTTTATGGAGAACGAACAATATTGTAAAATGGACTTGTAACGAGAATATGTGAGCCCACTCACTTGTTCCGATCATAGCCAAAGATTTCTTTAATGTGCCTGGAAATGTCGTCCTGCGGTTCATCTCCATCGTCTATGAAATCCTCCATTTCTGAGTCACACTCATCTTCGTCGTCGTCGTATTTCCTCTTGTATGCAGAGGTGATAGGCGGTAACATTGTACCTAGGAAATACAAACAGAAATCTATTTTGAGTTTGGGTATTGACTCTTCATATACATCCTCGAAAAAAAAAAAAAAACACTGACCCAACAAAGGCTGCCGAGTGCTGCTGACGTACTTCATTCAGTTCAGCAGACAAGCGCTTAGGCCTGTAATAGCGGTCGTGTCGTTTCAGGCGGAGGCTTTGGCCATGTTATACTATGTTGCATCAAAACACGCACTGTTGTACAATGTTGCTAAATGGGCTCGTCTGCATCGCTCTGTTGTGCAGACAACACCATGCTATCCATTTGTTTTGATGTGCACTTAAGGAGCCGGGAATAGCTATGAGAATACTTCGCGGTGAAAAAGTACTTATTTAATGTCTTGTGGAAAAGTGAACTTTGAGAACAGAAACCGTTGCTGTGGGAGAGTAGGAAGAGCATGTAGAGAGGGTGATCAGGTGAGGTGATCTCACTCAAAGAGTTACTGTGCCCACGACACGCTTGAGCAAGATACTAGACTCAAAAACGGTTTTCTCTACGAGTTAGGACCAAATAGGCAAGCAGTTACAACATGGACGGAGCTGCAGGGATTTAAACCCATTCAGTAAAAGCACATTAGCTTAAGTCGTTCTTTGTCTCTATTTTACTTGAATTCTACAATTAAGTTTAGTGTTAATTTAGTTTCAGCAACAATACAGTTTGATTATAATTGTTAAGAACTTTTGTCTGCAATTAGGATTACACAGTACTGGGGTACAAATTAACACCTCCAGTCAATCGGTGATTGCATCTCTTTATCGATTCTTACCCGGTGGTCTGTTCATCATGGGTCTCTGTGGCATTCCCGGTCTGGGCGGCATTCCCGGCCTCTGCGGCATTCCTGGTCTCGGCGCCATTCCTGGTCTCTGGAGCATTCCCGGGTTCTGCGGCATTCCTGGTCTCGGCGCCATTCCTGGTCTCTGGAGCATTCCCGGGTTCTGCGGCATGCCTGCCCGAGGAGGGACGCCTGGTCGGGGCCCCCCGAAATTCTTGGATGAAATGGTCTCGGACACCACGGTGCACTTGGAGCTGCCAGGTCCTGATGCGATGCTGCCAGTCGATCGCCCGGGTACTGGTCCTCCACTTCCAGGCCGACCACGTCCGATCCCGGGAGGTCGGGATCCACCACCTCTAGGGGGGCCATGTAGGCCACTCCCACCCAGCCTCGCCTGGGGGACACCGCCAGCTCTCGCCTGGAGCGTGCCTTCATGCCTTGACTGAGGTTGGCTCCCTGACCTAAGAGGGCCGCCCGATGAAGGTCTCATGCCAGACTTTACAGAGGAGTTCATTCCAGGCCGTAGAGGTTCTCCCTTTCCAGGCTTTCCAACCATAGGGCCCTGCTTCAATGAGCTACCCTGACTGGGCCTGATCTGTTTGGAGCTCCCAGGTTGAGATCTTTGGCCGGTGACAGCTGTACCAGGACCCCTGTTACCAGGAATAGCTGGGGCTCGTGATGAGCTTTCTTTTTTGATGATAAGGTCACTTTGGGTGCTGGATTTGTGGCTGGATGAGGGCTTGGTTCCCCCTTGTTTGGCTGAAACCTGAGAAGACGTGGCTCTTGAAGTGCCTTTGCCGTTTACAGCACCAGATGAACTAGACGAGTTTGTCTTAGGCCTGTCTCGATCGCTCTGAGACATCCTGGGTCTGTCTCTCTCTCGGTCCCCAACAGAGGGCCTAGAAGAAGTCTGGCCTTTATCACTTGTCCGTGTTGGATGCAACTTCTTTCCTGACCCACTGGGGAGACTTTGCTTTTCTATGGCGGGCTTTTGTGGTTTTAAACTCTTCTGCTCCTTCTCAGAAGTGCTTTTTCTCATTGAACTAAAGGTAGTCTGAGATTTGCCGTCCCTTTCTTTATCCGCCGATTTCAAATCTTTGATGGGCCTCTTAACCTTGCGCTCCAGCTCCAGTTCCCTTATCTCCTCAGCTGTTCGGAGCCTTTCGTCTTTCTTCACTACCTTGGTTTTTACCTCAACGGGCTCAAACTGCTTCTTCTCTGCCAATTTGAGTAACTCTGCAAAGTTCATGGGAGGCGGCGCGGGCTTGGGAGGCCCGCTGGGCTTTTTAGAGGAGGGCCTGACGCTGCTATTACTGCTATCGCCACCATTTCCACCAAAACCTGTGGTCTTCCCAGGTCTCCGCGGCTCGGGCTCCTGCTCCGATTCCGAATCAGTCTGTTCATACTCGTAATTGTCTTCGTCATCTTCGGGGTCAATAGAGTTATTCCTAAAACCTTCCCCATTCGAGGACCGCCCTTCCTGCATCTCGAGTTTTGATCTTCTCTTCTTGGGAAGCTCCACCACCGGGATGCCGTTGTAGCCTCGGAAATTGTCCTTAGTTCTGGAGGCCATGGCTCGTGCTTTACGGTCCGATTTCAACTCCACTCTCTTTGCTAGTAGTTCCTCCTTCTTTTTCTTCATTTGGATTTCTGAAAAAAAGAAAAATAGACAATGGAATTATCAAGGGACAATGCACTCTGCGCCGTACCGTTATCCATCTGAACTTTGCATTACCTTTCTTCTTGCTTTCACAAGTTTGTTTCTTCAGAAGCGCCTGCACAGCCGATGGATTTACCCCCTTTGACCTCGGGTCCTTTTTGGGTGGTGCAGCTTGTAAACTGTATCTCTTCTGCTCAAAAGAGACACACACATTACATGAACATTCAAGGCGCGTGAAGCACGGTTTATTTACCATTTGCACTTCTCAAATGTATCCGATTGCCTACGGATCAATATTGATGGCAAAAGTTACAATGTGTTGACGTTTTTTGGTTAGTTAGCGGCTAAGTTAGCTAACTGTTAGCTACTCCATCAGATCCCCTGTGACAGATGAGCTGGCACTTAGATTTGACACTTCACCGTCCGGCCTGAGTAAACTCAGCGCAAGCGACTGCGTTTAAACTTACCTGTGAACTGCTGGGGGCCCGATTTTGCGTGGCAATGTCCAATATATTGTCAAAGTCCATCATTTTGGCAGAGGCGACCACGGGCTGGTTATTCGAAATGAATCAGGGTAGACAACACCCGGAGTGCTAATGCTATCGTCAGCGTTTAGCGCACAAACCGAGTAGGTGGACGCGGGACGTGGCAGTGACCAAACGACACTTGAACGGCTGGAAGGACAACACCTAATCACAAGTAGTCCATTAGAGGAAAACCCGGCATATCAAAGCAGTCGACCCTACTTTTATTTCACCGGCTTACTTTAGCACATGCTAGCCACGTTAGCATAAGCTTACCTGACGTTTACTAACGCTTGCCAACCCACAACCCTGAAAGGCGTTTTTTTTGTACAGAGCTTACACACGAAACTAAGGCCAGGTCCATTAAAAGCCCATACACTTAAATTAAATTGACAGAAGACGACTAAAACTTGAGCAGAATGTTAAGACTGCTGTTGCTGGAGACCACGGCGACAGAGACAGACAGGAGGAGCCAAAGAGTACTTTAAGGAAGTGAGATAACTCTCTCATGCGCGTATCCGTCTTCGTAATATCACAACGACTTGTGTGTATAGATTTACACCAATACGTTTTTGATCTTGGATTGATAATATATTTCTAACCACAAAAACGTACCATGTTAAACACAGTGCTATTAGAAACACGTGTTTTGTTTGACAAGTGCAACGTATTCACAACGTGAAATAAACACAAGATCAACAGCGACGTGCGTGTACCACGTTTTATGAGTCAGCTCTACGGTCTCTGGTCCATGTTAAAATAACGTTTACACTTGGAGACCACATGATGTCGCTGCCATTGTGGATTCTCCTCATCAAGTCAACACAACATGTTATAGGCTCTTCATACTATATAATCATAAGCCCGCACATGATGGTCGACGCTGCTTTTACATTATTTATGTCATGTTTGGCTATAAATATTGTATCATTTGTCACACACTTTTAAGTGTGTGAAGTTAAAACTTCAATAAACTTTTCTATACAAAATGAAATGCTCCAGTACAGGCTATAGTATATGAGTGATATAGCTACGTTTTACAATTGACAGTTAACATTAATTGTATGCAACCTGAGAGTGAGAGAGATCAAGAGAGAAGCAAATGTATTTGTTAATAAAATGGATACGCTCGGGTGACACCGTTTCCTTTCATTTCGTTTAAAATCGTCTTTTTAATACTTCCGAATTTCTCCTTGTGGGATTAATACAGTAACCATCCATCTATCTTGAGAAATTTTATTCGAGCAACGTTTCGATCACATAGAAATGTTTTCCAGGCTTATGGTCTGAATTGATAACGCCTAATCTGACTCATTAACAAAGGATTTTTTAGAGAATAATCAATTATAAACTTTCCATCTTTCTGTTACATGTAAATAATCGCCATCTGCTCCGGTAAGTAAACAGCAGAGTGATCCTCCTATCCGGGCGTCCTTCACGTCATGGCCCGCCTCGCTCACTGCCCTTCGTCGCGCCTATTGGTCAGCAGACAAAGGTCCCGCCCACGGCATGGCTCGTCTCTCGCTTCCTACTGGACGTCGGACCGCCCATCGGAGCGGAGACAAAAACAATTGGAATCCCACAGCCAGTACAACATAAACAGGGGGACTAAAGCCCAAAGCCGATAAATACCTTTCTCCCCGACACGGACACCGCCGGCAGAGAAATGGTTTCTCCGGTGACAGTGGTGAGTATCTTCGTCAAGTCAGCGTTGGTAATTTTCACAAACTAAACAGGAATAATGGGAGCTATTTTAGCTAACGTTGCATGTCAACACTACAACTGTCCTCTTCGATGTCTGCACCATGCGGTCCACACTGTCTCATGTTTTGTTATTTCGGCTTTGACGGGCAGTGCGTGCTCATTAGTTTATACATGTAATTAGCAATGAATCAGTCAGTCTGCCTCGTCATTTGATGTGCAGGGAGCACGAACTTTTTAATGCGGCCCTTTTACTTGACACTTTGACACGTTTTCAGCAGTATCGCTCAGCCGCGAACACGAGGATGTTTCCACAAATTTCCAAAGGCAGCCCGTGACAAAAAAACGAAAGAACCTGTCATGTGACAACTTTTTTTTTTGTCTGTTTTTTTGTTTTGTTTCCCTTCCTTTTATCAAACGCATGCGCATTTCGTCTCATCCCCCTCGCTGTAGCTCTGCTTTACGTCTGGTCTATTCTTTGCCAATCCATTAGCTACAGAATTATTTTTTGGGTGCAATGGCAGGAAATTGGCCATTCTGAAACCCCAAAAGAAAGAAAAAGACTGCGACAGCTAGATGGGTAATGAAGCGGCCCTTGCATCCTTACTTTTACAGAGCTGCCGTGACATTAGACTCATTTTGCACCTGCGAAAGGTGTCTGTATGAAGGAATGCTTGCCATAAACAAGTGGTTGTCATTTACATTAGATTTAGCTGACGCTTTCATCGAACCCGGCTCGTTGTAGGTGCATTAAACCAAGCGGGTGCGGAACCAGAACGAGAAGAATCAAGAAAGTGCAATTTATTCAAGAAAGACAAAGGACTAAGTGTCAGGGATGCGGGTGGAAGGCAGGACTCAAATGCAGACTTTTCCAAAACAAAACACTTTAATAGTCAAAAGGTCAAAAAACACAGGAACCGGGGGCAAAAGCACACAGGCAAGAAACTACGGAGATCCAAGACGAAAGACAAGAACAAGCGTGGCAAAAGACAATGACGCGACATGTGACACAAGAGACACACGGCTTGAATACACAAGGGAGGTGCAGGTGATTGGACACAGGTGTAAACTATTAAGACGATCACAGGGGATGACGGGACAAGGCAGGAAGTGAAGTTACCCGGGGACACGAGTGGCAGAAAACTACAAAATATAACATGAAGTGAACCACACCGTGACACTAAGTGCTATAAGTCAGTTCCATCTTAAGTGCTACGTGATGCTGTGCAGGGGTTGCAAAACTTTAAAGCCCTGCTCCAACTATTGCCGTGAAAGGGAAGGTGTAGGTACTGAGACAATGCCCGTTTGTAATCTTTATTTTTCATTTAATGTGCTGCATTCTTCATAATCCGCTCCATTCATAAAAGCTACATTTGAATGATTGCCTGATACTTCAAAAGTAGATGAACAGAATTAGCAGTGGATTTAAGGTATTTAAGTTCACCTTCTACTCCTGCTTTGATGTTGGAATGCTGCCGCAATAACTACACTATACCTGCATACAACACAGTTTTATTTTGGCCTTTTTATTTCTCACTCCTAACTCTGTTTTTATAAAGACTGTGCCGCTCCATGGCATCCGGTGAACTGACTCATAAAGGAGCTCATTCACTTTTGTCTCGTACAGATGATCTCCATTCAGTCACTCCAGCACCTTCTGTCTTTGACTGCTGTGGACATTGTGGTTTCTGGCAATCGTCGAGGCGCCTGCGTATTGTATTTAGTTCCCGAATGTTTCTTACAGCACAAAGATGCACCTTTCAGCCGAGATCAGGTTTCCCTTTTTATAGAAGAGCACCTGCGTGTATTGTGGAGCAGCTGAGCTTAAGTAAGCCTTGGATTTGAAGTGGCTGAAAGAGGGATCCTCCCCATGCCAGTGCTCTGTGATGCTACACGGAGATAAAGTTGTCCTATGACTCACATGCCAGCTGTTCCTGCCAGGACCAAACTTGTATTACAGTACCCCTTTGCCAAATTGCATACGCAAGACTTTACAGGTCTTTTTTAATGTTTCCAGCACTCGTCTAGCGTGTGACCAAGAACTTCAAGGGCTGCATTTAGGAGGCGAGTTTGGGCTCGGAGTTTGTAACCATTTGCTTGTGTTGAAAAATACATAGATTCTTGGTCTGAAACAGCTGAAGAGGCGGTGCATCTCTGGAGTAGCTTAACACCCCCCCCCCTCTATTGCTTGTTAATGTAAATGCAGTAAATCATTAACTAGATTATTGTTCGCAGCCGGTCGACCGTGCTGCACCATTTCTGCGAAACAGCCTCCATTAGCGCGATCGTTCAGACGGCAAGGTGAAAACAAAATTATTATTTTCGTTTGCCACCCAGATGAGGCAGAATGTTCTGTCCTCTTAACAGCGGCGAAACAGCTGACTGCAGACGATCGATCGAGGCCGGTGGAGTAGGTTCCAGCTGAGACGACGGCGAACCCCGGCCATCTCATTCTGGTGCAACGGAGGACTAAAAACCTCCCATCCGCCGTGGAGCGGCTCACGAATTCCATCGGGCCATTAGGCCTCCTTGGTGTGACAATTTGATGCAGCGTGTTGTAGTAGCAGTAACGTGGGGGGCGGTTTGAGAAAAACTCCTGCATTCGCTTTGTGGATTCTAAACGCGGACTTTCAGTCCAGCCGAGGTTCAAGTGAGACAAACACTGTGTGTGCAATGTGGAGTAGGTGTTTGCCCATTGTGCAGATACAACGTGTTGACGTGAACAACAGTGGAAGGGAAACTGTAAATAATGGCTCAGACGCAGCATGAACAGGACCAAAGGTTATGGGAATCTCGTTCCTGTTTCAAGATGTGTTTCAAGATGTGTTCCGTGCGTAATGGAGTTCATTACGAAAAATGTGCACCACATACATTTGAAGATCTCAGACGATAACACACAAGCTTGTGCCTTTTTAAAATGGGTCCGATCCGTCTCGTTTTGCTGCTGTCACGTTATTCGGATCAGCTACAACGGGGCAAGCTGGAGGTCAAACACTGTCCAAAACCCAGTCCGCACAAATCGGGGGGCTTTGACTTCCTCCTCTTTCCTCCAGGAGCATGAACCATATGGACTAAAGGCGACCCCCCCCCCTCTCCCCTCCTCCACCCCCTTTCCTCACCTCCTTTGCTTCTTCTCTCTGTCCCCAACTCATTACATTACATTACATGTCATTTAGCTGACGCTTTTATCCAAAGCGACGTACAATAAGTGCATTCAACCATAGGGTACAAACTCAGGAGAACAAGAAACAAGAAAGTGCAATTTCCTCAAGTAAGCCAATTTACAATTTGCTATAGATGAGTGACGTTACAAGTACAATTTAAGTGCTACAATTTGTTAGTCTTTAGTCGAGGTAGAGTCTGAAGAGGTGTGTCTTTAGTTTGCGGCGGAAGATGTGAAGGCTCTCTGCGGTCCTGATGTCTTCAGAGAGCGCGTTCCACCATTTCGGCGCAAGGACAGCGAAGAGTCGAGACCTAGTCGAGTGTTTTGCTCTCAGTGAGGGAGGGACGGTCAAATCCTCACTGGTCAAATCCTAATTCTAGCTGTCATCTGAATGCTTTTGACTCCACCGCCCCCCCCCGTCCTCCCTGCTTCTTTCTCTGCCCTACTTTCTCCTTCTTTTGTGAATATTGTAATCAGAGATTTTCACATATTTATGCTCAACACAGAATCTTTGGATGGGAAACATGCGGGCACGGGCTTGTTTTTCTCTTTACAACTATGGTCTTTGGGCGCTCTTGATAGGGGGCAAAAAGAATATTTCACGTTCCCTCCGCTAAAAAGAGACATTTAGGGCCCGTTTTTCTCAGGGTTCAAAAACATTCGACCCAAAGGGGGGGGGGGAAGAAGGGGGTTACGGGGGTTCAAAGGAACACCCGGGGTGGGGGTGGGGGGGGGGGGGTGTTGCGTTTCCCCTTCTACTCGCTGGATCTGCAGAGTTTTCGCCTCAGCCCAAAAAAACACGTGCATGCCTGAGAACGGTGGTGCGAACGAGGCGCCGCACGGAGACTCACTCAACCCCGCCGAGCCAAATAAGCAGAAGCACTTGTAACTGTACTAAAGATGAACACACACACAGTGGCGGCTGTTCCTGTGATATACTTCGAGCCGCTTGCGCCCCGAGACAAACAACCTTTTGATAGGCCCGGTCACTATAGTGTCAACATTGTTCACTGAACAGAACTACCTTGTGTCAGCGCAACCAGCCGCGACAAAATTAACAGTGTAAATATTTAATCTGCTTTCAGGTCAAGAGCGAAGGGCCAAAGCTGGTGCCGTTCTTCAAGGCAACCTGTGTGTACTTTGTCCTGTGGCTTCCCACCTCGAGCCCGTCCTGGTTCAGCGCTCTAATCAAATGTCTGCCCATCTTCTGCCTCTGGGTGTTTCTGCTGGCTCATGGGTTCAGCTTCCTCGGCGCTCACTCCAGTGCGCGCAGGATCTTGGCGGGCCTCATCTTTTCTTCTCTGGGTGACGCCTTTCTCATCTGGCAGGAGCAGGGCTACTTTGTTCACGGTGAGGAGAAACGGTTTATTTTGATTGCTGTTTGTATGAAGCATGATTGTGTCCTTGTCACATTGACTAATCTGACTAGATCTCGCTGTGAGATGAAGCAGCGTCACAGCGATCCAAGTTCCCAGAGAGGATCATAAACCAACAGTCAAAAAAAAACCCCAACTTGTTTGTTTCCTCCACTTTGTGCTTCGGGCTTTGTTTTGCACACGACAAATGCAGATGCTGCTACGTTGTGTGATTGTATTTCGATTGAATCACACCTGCGTGTATAATGTCCTGCAGGCCTTCTGATGTTTGCTATCACCCACATCCTCTACTCGTCTGCCTTTGGGATGAAGCCCGTTAACGTGTCCGCCGGCCTGGCGATCGCCGCCGTGTCCTCGGTGAGCTACATGCTGCTGTACCCCTACCTGTCCGGCCCCTTCACCTACCTGGTGGCCGTCTACGTGGCTCTGATCGGCTTCATGGGCTGGAGGGCCGTAGCGGGCGTGCAGCTGGCCAACGACCTGTGGACCTGGACCAAGCTGTGCGCCTGCCTGGGCTCCATGCTCTTCATGGTGTCCGACCTCACCATCGCCGTCAACAAGTTCTGCTTCCCCGTGCCGTATTCGCGCGCCATCATCATGGCCACCTACTACGCCGCCCAGATGCTGATAGCGCTGTCGGCCGTTGAGTGCCAGGAGGCGGAGGTGGCCCGGAAGAGAACGTGAGGTGCCCGCGGGCCCAGTGGACGCATCTCACTGACTGATTCCTCAGCCTTCAGCCCTCATCTCAGTGTGACGCTCCTGCGCTGCTGTTACCGTGGCGACCGGTTAACTACGGTCTCCACACGGCCATCACGCTTCTACTAGTATGGTAGCGTCACAACTGTCCTCATACCACGGCGGTAGTATTATCCTCAGCCTTCCTTCTCCGAACCCAGACTGGCTTTCAACCTAGTTACCGTGGAAACAAGCCTTATTGGTATTATTGGAGAGTATTACTTTGCCTTTAACTGATTTAATTTAAGGGGAGCCTGTCACTGGGGACCCTCAAGGAATGTGTGTGTGTGTTTGATTAACGCCTCTTTACCTCTCAGTCACATCAGCCACAGTCACCACACCGACTCCCACGTCCACTTTAAAATGGTCCAATAACACAATTTAACATCAGGTTTTTGTCATTGCTTCAGACCTTTTGAAAAGGGATTTATTTTTTTGACCATGTGTTGCTTTTCACTCTGTGTAGCTTTGGTAAATGAAGTTTTCTGTCCTTAAAGTCGGGAGCATATCCACAGCTACTTTATTATCTGCAGTCCCGTCCGTTGCATTTCCAATAACCACTGAGCCTTTGTGTCAAAACAAATTCAAACCCCGTCTCTCTGGATTATTCAATTGTGATGTTCTTGAACAACTAGATGTACATAGAAATAATGACAGAAAATGGGTGACGGCAGTTACAGTTTATTTTAGGACAGATTTTTGTGATGCTGTCACAAAGAGAACACAGTGCACATTTCCCTCCCAGCAAGAGTCGTCCTTGTCTAAAATTGAAAGGATAAAAATCACTAATGTGCGACTAAAACTAATGAGCATTTTCCTGTGATGACTAAACCGAAGACAGCGCTCAAAATGAACCCTTCATTGCACACATTCTCACATGGTGTACATTTGTTGCAGGTGTTTGACAGTACGTTGCAGTTTATCAAAAACGTGACCGTGCAAATGTCGACATGCTCGCATACCTGGGACCCCTGCTGGTTTGCCTATTAGGAAAAGTTATTTATTCATTAGGAAACTGTTATCCCATTATTCCTAAAATCCCTTTCATCCGCCGATATTTTTTGGTCTTTTATCTAACCTCCCTTTCCCCCCTTAAATGGTTTGTGCTCGAATTGAGGGTCCTTCCTGGAATATTCAGGCTCACTGTAGATGAGGATGCATGTTGGGAGTGTGTGTGTGTGTGTGTGTGTGTGTGTGTGTGTGAACACCTGTGATGGCTCAGGAGCAACAGAACGGCTGCGAAAACTACGCATCAGGACAACGTGTTTTAACAAGTCTCCAAATCTGCCTCCATTCCCTTCACCTCTGGTGTGTTACAGCATCACCTGATGTGTTGTCAGTTTAGAGTCTTGAGTAGACACTCACCTTTTTAACGAGTATACGCCGCCACTGGCATCATGATTAACTAACCACTAACTGTCTGTTTATTGGAAAAAGAATCGACGTACAATCGAGACCGGAGACGTATTCATGGCTAACGCAAATAGAAAAGCGATAGCTTTTGTTATTCAGTGGTTCACAACACATGAACCTCAATATGACATCATTTGCTGTATACAAAACAACCTGGCGTGGAAAATAAACAGACTCCGTGTCACGGGTACCTTCTGAAAGGTCAACGACCTGGAGCTGTCGGGCAACACGCCTAACGTACGCTCCAAAAAAAGCGTGCGTTGGCGGCAGGACACGTGGATGCCTCACATGAGGCCAGCGTGGCCGCGGTGAAAAGCAGCAGTCTCAGTTTGACCGGGAAAGACACTCAGCCCGAGCGTCTCCTCCCGCCGCCGCCGCCGGCGGTCTGCTGCATGCTTCCTCAATCTCCTTTTTGGCTCGTCAGCACTGTAGTTTTGCCGTGTTTCATCGGGCCATCCAGCATTGCTGAAAGCCCCCCAACCCCCCTCCCCACCCCCTGGTGTGCAATCTGAAATCAGACCATGAGGAAATAATGAGTTAAGGGTCAGGCCGCCCTACTGGTGCGCGCTGCGTGGGGCTATTCATGTAAGCACTCCGGTTCCCAGTGGGTATTGCCAGAGACTGGCCCTACTTTGGGGGGGTTTTTCCGGGAATCATGTTACGTTTTTGGATTCGGGTCATCCGCCAGAACTGTGAGAGTCGCGCTCCCTGGGAGCGATAACAAAGGAGGGGAGAAATTTTTTAAATCTCTCTCTCCGGGGGTCTCTTTTTTTTTTGTTGGCCCCGGGGACCCCCCTAAACCCCCCTTTTAAAACCGAGCTGAAAGCACAAAAGAAAACTAAACACATCGAGAGTCTTCTCGTGTATCAAACAGCCCTTTTGTTTTGTTTTTCGGAGGCCCCCCTCCACCCTCTGTGCGGGAGTCATTGTTGAGCGATACTGTTGAGCGATACTGCCCACTCCCCCCCCCCCTCCTTTTTTTCCTCCCGATTGAACCTCATCCCTCTGCTTCTTTTTGCCGTTGTGTCCCGGGATGTGTCACCTGAAGGGCTGAGCCGTAACGTCTGCACAGACCGTAGTCACGCGTGTCGAGTGGGTTGAACTGACTCATCCAGGTCAACACCACCCATCTGCGGTGATGGATGGAAAAGTGCACGATAAACGCCCGGCTGACGCCTGCTCCTCCATCAGAGTCGGCCCTACGACGTGTGTGTAAAGGTGGTGACATGTTCTCTTTGTATTATCAATCTGAATCTACTGTGTGCTGCACTTCTCTGTGATCAGAGCCAGGCCAGTCAATCTCTCTCCGAGCAGCTGTAGGGTTTGTTGTGTACTGTAAACCTTTTTAGTATATGCGCCTTTTATCTCCTTACATTTCCGCTTCAAGAGATAAACCAGAAGTTGGTTTTGATGTTGAGGGTTTAGTCACAATAAAGGGAGGCATTGGTGTGGGATCATTTTTGGTTTCAAAAGATAATAATAGCTCTTGAAGTGTTACAAGCCTTTAAATATATATGAAATCGTCTTTTACTTTATCCAAATACTGTTTTTGCCTGTCTCTGTGGAAAGAGCTGGGTGTGTTTTCCACAAAAATCTTTTCTTTTTTTGAAGGTCCTGACCTCATTTCATGAACAAATGTCTGTTTCTCTGATTTATCTCTTGTTTTTATGTCTGTGATATACTTTACCCCGTGATCCTTGATTGTCACCTCGTAATTCAGTTTTTTTTTTTTCATGACCGTAGAGATGAAATAGTTCCTTTGCTGTAGTGAAACTGATATGAATGTGAATATCTATTGGAAAAAATAAATGCAAAGACAATGCAACTTCAACATTTTGGACTTTTCTGTTTGTTTACTAGAATCAATTGTACCTCATTAAAAGTGCTGATCTTAACGCCCGGTCAGCGTTTTGTATTTCTAGAGAAGCTGTGGGCAGAGCTCCGTTCTTGTAGCTACAGCTGCACTCTTTTGTCTGGCCGAGGTAGAAAATGTGCTCTCGGGGAGGCTTCAACTCCTTGGAAACCACCAGGACTTCCTCTCGCCTTCTCGTTTGTTCTGCTTGTTCTTTTCTTTATGCACGCACACACCTCACAGAGTAGAGCCAATTCCTTCCAAATGAGCCTCATTCATTAGCACCTATGGTCTCAATAGAGGGAAGACGTGACAATTTATCTATCTTATAATATTGTTTTATTCTTCTCTTTCTAGCGCCAGTCGGTGCTTAATTTACTTGAGCCTGGTCACCAGGCAATGCCAGTCGTACCGTGGTGGCTGTGTAGAAACGCTTGAGTTCGCTTGAGCCGGCGCACTGACGTCAGGGTGGAAAGGGGTCGTGACCTCTCTCAAGTCTATTTGGCAGCTCTCCGCCGGACCACGCTCCCTTTCTCAGGGGAGCAGCGGACCAGCAGGAGGCGAGGCCCATTCGGAGGCTGTCAAAGCCTCTTCGACCCAGAGGGAAGCCATCACACAAAGCGGTTTGAAAGTAAAAGGAGGAATTTCAGTCTCAAAGGCTCAAATAAAATCTATGTTAAAAATACTGGTTTAACAGTGTTTACTTTTTACATTTTAAGGCTCCCAGTGAGCTTGTAATGGCTAAAGCATAAACATTCCAAGTGTGTCGCCTGGCCTCAATCTGACTTTTAACTATTTGTTTCACTGACATAAGTTCAGACTGCATTAATAAATGCAAAAAGCCCCCAGGTTTTTGGTTTCTGTAAATGACTTCAATGGATTTGCTAACAGATACTTTCCGTCCCCTGATATTCAGAAGAAAGAAGAAAGATTTGCAGACGCTTCACAGCATTTTGTGACGTGATGACAGATGAGCTGAGCTCGTCATTTCAGATCCAGAAATGTTCCAGACAGAGCATACAAACTAAATACTAAATACAACATCAAATCCACAGGACGGCAGATGAAATCACTTCTATTTTTTGTTTTAGGTATACTTGTGGGCATTTGTTCTTTTCGATTCATCTAGAAAGCAGATTTAACCACAAAAGGGAAAAGAAGACGGCGTTTCATAAAAGCTGTGGTCTGGCAAGATTTTGGCTGATTGTGTAATTGTCAGCGTGCATGCCAATGTGTGTCTGTCGTCAAACAAAAGGACATGCGTCTGTGTTTATATGATGCACCGTGTAAGAATACGTGTTCAAGATTTGGAGCCTGGTCGGGGTTATCAAAAATTCAGCCGAATGACTTCTCTCGTTCTGGGAAATTTATTTGTCAGATCACAGGTCAAGTATCAGCGCTGCGTTTGCAAAGGCAGGAGCAGTTCAGGCAGCACACAGGCCGGAAGAACAACTAACTAACATCAGCAAGAACATCATGTTTTATAACCCTTGAAAGACAGAGAAGGAAAGATTTCTATTGGCCCTAAACTGGCGTAGAGGAGGACCTTCCACCTCCCGCATCTAAGATCCGGTCACATCCAATGTCCAGACTCCTGACTTAACGTAAACATCGTAAACAGAGTGTGTATGTTGAATAGTGTTGGTGTGTCTCTAACCCCCCTTTGGCTGGTAAATCTTCTAGTTGACCCGCAGACCTTACATTCCTCAGCCAGGACACAAACTGACTCCCCATCCTGTCAGACTCGTGTCTGCCTGCTTGGCAGATCCTGCTTCCCCCTTACCTAACTCTTAAATCAAGACAAGACAGCAAACCCCCAACTAAGCCCATGAAAATAACTTTTGATTATCAACCGTGCATGTATTCAATCCTTGTCTTCATCCACAAGAAAAAATCCCTCCACCACAAACTTCAGTGTCCTCCTGGACAACAATCTCTACACAAGAATTGGAGCGAGTCTGACCTCTAGTGGCCGTTTGTTACATTACCAGAAATTATCCATGGGAGAAAAACAGCATTTTCTCACCCAAATAAATCAACTGTAAAATGACATTTAAATGATTAAAAAATCCTTTTTTAATTAATACACTTTGCATATAGCTCGATGAACTCTATCTTACTCTCAGGAGGCTTATGTTGTTCTGTAGTATTTAAAACCTGCATTAAAGGAGACAGCTTTTACTTCTGAATCCCTAAATATGTGTTCCTGGCACCTCGCTGGTGCTGGGAACCAGCGAGGTGCTCTCAGCTGTACACACCGCCGGGGTCCTCTCGTCCTCCATGACCTCCGCGACCATCCTCGTGCCGTGTGACCTCAGGCGGCGGTTTGCCTTTGAAGGGGATCTTAATGGTGGTTTCTGGCCGGCCTTCACTCACAGCTCGGGCCCCCCGACGTGTCCGGCACAGAGAAACCCATTTCTGGAGAATGAGATTGATGTAGTTTGGGATGTGATTTGCGTGACTGATATTGTGGCAGGAAGCTTCCTTTCATCCATCTCAATCATCTGCACTAGTGAGCACACAGCCTCCGTCTCAGCCCCATTGGCCCTGGAGGGGAACCCCCCCATCATGAAAGTCATACCAGAGAAGATCAGCTCCTAAATCTGTCAATGTTACACACAAACAATGTGTTATTGAAGAAAAAAAAATCTTCCTCTTCCGACCGTATATATCTGCACCAACTTTTGGAGAAATCTAGCAGTCCTTCTTATTGTCGAGATTTAAACTAATGTGCCTGTAAAGAACAGGTTATGGTATCACCAAAAGTATTATGATTAATACTGTGTGTGCCAATCTGTAGAGCAGATGTTGGGATATTTTAGTCGGGACAGAAGTGGTGGACGAACCACAGCTTCATGACTGGATCCAAGTGTTTGCATGACAAAAAAAACCCTCTGCCACATCATTTGGTAGAAGAAGGGGGCATTTGAGAGACTCTTTCGTCTTTCAGCCACACTCCATTCTTCTCACCATCAAGCACAACAGCTCTGCACGGGAGACTGTAGGACACTGAGCTTTGACATCCGCTCCAGCACGACACAAACAAAAGTGACACTGACACCGATAAAGAAAAAGTGGTCAGTCGGGCAGAAGTGACGTGTGTTCCTGGGCGTCATTGTGCTGAGTGCAGGTGACGAGAACTCTGCCTCGTCCGTCACTTCGCAGCCGTCGATGATCACCTTGCGTCCTCTTTCTGTCCCGTGATGTCACCCTTCCCTCCTCGGTGCTCATCTTGCACTCTCGCATGTTCTTAAAGTGGCTGGTACACTTGGTGGGAATCCCTAGATGAAAGTAGAAAAAAGGCCGGTAATAAAAGTAAGGGACTCACTTCAGGGTTTCTTTTCCCTTAAGTAGCATGCTTAACTTTTAAAGAAATTTCTGTGTTAAAAACAAAGCATTAATAACTTTAAATGAAATTTGTAAAACAGGATTAATTGATTTTTGTACCAATTTATTAGGTTTGTTCTTTATATATTTCATCTCTCACACACGGCAGATACTTCTCTTCTCAGGAGCGACTGTAATTAACACAACCTACATTACTATGCTTGTGTTCCTGGAACCCCAGAGGACAGCCACATGTCCTTGTGAAGACATTTGCGTGTCCCAGCTTGCACGTTGGGCATGTGAGCATCTTGTTAGACACAGCTGTAATAAATGAGCTTGTTGTGTGCAGGGACTTTGTTGGCTCCCTTTCAACTCAGCACTAGGAGGATTTATGATGCTACCCATGCGTCTTCATTTGGACGATAGGTCCAAATTAGTTTCACTAAAGCAGCAGCTCACAACCCTTTTGGGAAAACCCCCCACTAAAAAAAATAAAGCATAACAAAAAAACGCTTGTTGAAGCCTGAGAAATACTGTGGTCCACGATGGCAGTGAGGCCTCCAGCGCCGGCGGTGTCGTCTCCGGTGCACTGACTCGCACGTCCTTAATCTTCAAAGTGAAGGTCAGCCCATCCTCAGATAAGGACACGTCAAAACAATGTGTTTTTACTTTCTTTCTCTTTACCTGCCAAAATAAAATGCCACAAACAGATTAAATCTCTTTAATCTCTTTAAAGAAGGGATATTACGTGAGAAAGTCTTTTTGAGTCACATACAAACCTTCCAGATGAGTGGTGCGAAAACACTTTTTTCAAAAATGTTTCTCACTCGTCGAAAAAAAAGAGAGCGATGGTCTATTAATGTCCTATAGATTATGTGGAGGGATGAGGCACAGGGCAAGGAACTGACTATAAATGGAAAGAAAACATTTCTGTGCACAAAAAATGTTCTCAATTCGGTCAAACGTTCTAAAACAAGTAAATAATAACAGAGAGTGACCCCTAAAGTTGGTAATGCAGTCTATGGCGAAAGTATCTGTCTCAGTCCCGAGGAGTGGAACGACTGGAGTCCCATTCTGCGCTTGCCCGTGACATTGAGCCTGGCTGACGGTCTCTAGCCTGCAACCTGCAGAGAGTCTCTGAGGCGCACGGTGGAAATGCACAGCGTGTGCTCGGCTCCCATCTGTTTCCCTGCGCATTTCCCACGAGAGTACTGGATCCGCAGCAGCTCCGCGCCCTGAATCATAAACAAAATGCACAGACGTGTGGAGGGGGGGTGCTCAAAGAATTGTTTTATCTTACTGAGACTCCTATATGTATGTATATATATATAACTTTGAAGCACGACAGGCAGACACAACGGTTTATTACCAAAAACTACCGCATCCCGATGTGTAGATCCTTCGGTTTCAGGGCGGTGTCCTCCAGGGGAAAATACCACAAGATCAACCACTGACAGATTTTTTCCCATTAGCCGACTTGAGTGACGGCGTGTGACGTGCCTTTGTTGCCGTGTCTGTGCTGCGTGACATAAAACATCATCTTCGTCTTTTACATTCTGCTTTCTATTTTAAGCTTATTTTTCACATCACTCCCCGAACCTGTTCTTCCCTGTGCCGATCCTTTGGTGGGTGAACGAGCTCTCCGTGTGACAGCCGAACCTCCGCCCTCACTTTTTTCTTCATCGCTTCTCGAGGATGCCTGAAGTCGGTGAAGGCTGACTCGCCGCAGATCCTCTTTTTAGCTGCAGCCGGGATCTTAAGCATCTCCTCCTCTGCAGGTGGCCTCTTCTCCTCTTTCTTCTCCCTCCTGCTGCACAGAGAAAACTATTCTTCATGGTTTTTGCCAAACGCGTGTGTGCGTGTGTGCGCATCACATGTATGTATGTCAAACAACATTTCTGACAATATGTGCAGATGATCTGATATACAAGTGGAGAAAATTCCTCACAAGTTACGTAGAAAGATTAAAAATAGCTTTCCTTGTTGCTTACTGTAACTAAAACTGGCCTACTGTCATTACATGGTCCAGTCACTTTGAATCCCACTGTAATACTCATGTGGTGCAGTGGGAGGCAGTGGCACGCTGGGAACACCCAGTAAACATTCAGCACCGCAACTTAACGTCCCTCAGCAGAGAAACAGATGGCAAGGGGAGATGCATATGTCAGCACCCACAAGTTAATTGCTCTATAATAGCTATTTAAGCTTCACTTAAGCTCCCCCGGCTGGTACAGAGAAAGCGCTAAATCCACTCCAGAGTGGTTACAGATAAAAGGATCAGGGAGAGGTTTTTTCTTTCTACTTTTCTTACCGATGCATCGTGTTCAGTCTCGAGTTGACAGAACCAAGATGGCCGAGTCCCCCTGGCTGGTCACTTTCACACTCTTTTGCCGACATACTGTATCTTGGTAAATTGGCAGAGTAAAGGGTTGGCAGCACAAGCCCAAAATTAAAAAAACCCTCTGGCCAATTAAAATGGAACCGTAGCATCATATACATTGATCTTAATTATTGGCTGTTTTTTGATTTGGTGTGAAGTAATTAATGTTATTATATTAACTAAACAGTGGTAGAAAACAAATGAGTCCAACAGAGTTGGAGAGTTAAAGAGACTCGATATAGATCTTACTCATCAAAAATCTCATGTGTATCGAGACAAATAATGTCATTAATTCTGTGTTGATGATATGCTGATTGTTTATGTAGAACAATGTCGTGCCATCAACCAATGAATGAAAATATAGCAACTCTGCAGTATTCTGTGTATTGTGATCTATAATTCTTTGTTTTATTCGATCCCACAGACTCAATCACACTATTGATTTGTATTAAGTATTAATTTTGATCTGAGTGAAATATGTTTACCCCAGAGAGTTTGTCGAACTTTTACACATAGCAGCAAACTTTACTTCAAGTGGAGTTTTAGCTGATGTCATCTGGAGTTTCTAGGCAGGCATGGCGTAAGGATCTAAAATGATCCCCCATATTCTCAGGGGCCCATAGTTGTGTATAACGCAACTCGAAGAGCAAAGGGCGTTCCTTGACATTTCAGGCCAGTGGGTTCACCCCACCCTCTTGGGTAGTGACGGGCAGCAGCTTCTCCTCAACATCTGGAACAGACTCTCTGGGAGGGTTTGTGGACCTGACTGAACGGCATCACCAGGGCGGAGTTGTTCCACTGGAGCCCAGAGTGCTCCACATCATCATCATCATCATCATCATCATCATCATCATCATCGTCGTGTACAAAGGGCCAAACTGTGCTTGACCTGCCTCCCGTGCAAATGGAAATTGATCATTATGACTTTAAAGGCTTTGCACTGCAGTGCAGTTGTTGTTGGTGTGCAATTGGCCAGCAGCTTTAAATGGCAGCCTGATGTCCTTTGTTTTCCAATGTGCTTTGAGGGTTTTAGCAGAAAAAAAACAATGTAATTCTGCACGGTGGGACAGGTAAGAAATGTCAGCTTCCAATTCAACCATCTTTTGCTCATAATAACGACTCTAACAAGATGCTCCTTCCTGCCACATCTCACGAATAAAGAGGTTATATTAGAAAGCATGGCAGAGGCTTCCAAAGTCCTTGAGAAGGCCCGATGAAGCTGGTGGAGGAGGTGGATAAAGAGGACATCTGCATGTTTGATCTCAGCCTCACGTGACCTAGATGCTGTTTGCTCTGCTGCCACATGATATTTTTTTGGGACATCCAGTTCCATTGGGTCTTGTTGTGTGTAACAGCTTCTTGTTTTAATATATCACCTACGGTAGATAAGAGGGACCAGAGGGACAGAGGACAGGCTTAACCAGCCTCTCTGAACGTACACACTGAAGCAGCTAATCGTATTGTGCGCTCAGATTGTAAAGGATTTTGCTCAGAGCTGCTGTGTTTGTCTACTTGCATGCATGTGAGTGTATGCTCGAGTGTGCGCGTGTTGAACACACACCATGGCTCTGTCTCGGTTACTTCCTGCTTTAAAGAGCACGTGCCAAAAGCCAGTGGAACTTGTGCTTTTGCCGCTCTTGTGCAAAGATCCAATTAAAAAGGTGATCCACACACCTGCAATGTGAGATAACGCATCCTCTCCTACTTTGAATTGGGATTCCTCTCCTGTGCGTTGTGCTGCGAATGTGTATCTTTGCCAGAAAATAATGCGTCCACTTCAACTATTTGGCTGTAAGAAGAAGATTACAACACATCACAACAGTTAAAATCCAAGTGTGTTACATTGCAGTACTCAAAATACCAACCACACATTTAGCTCAGTGAATATTTGTGACTATCATAATATAGAAAACGATATTGTTTTCGAAATAGGAATCAGGAATCAGGAGGATTTATGCCTGATTATTACATGTAAATGTGACTTCACAAGGAACAATTAACAGCAGGAGAAATCCCTGAATTAGAAATAGGAATGTAGCTTCCTGCAGTAAACACACTACATGTTGGGGTTAGTGAACTAATTAGTCCCCTAAGCTTTGATTCCCACCGAAGGCAGTTCTTTTTAAAAACTCTTTGATGGCATAAATCTACAGTCTAAAGAGTAGCAAGTGACTGAAAGCTACAAAGTGCTGAACGTCCAGGATTCCTTCTCACTCTAAGTGGAACACAATAACATCTCCATTCCCTTCCTACATCCCCGCCTCTTTGTTCAGTGCAGTCGATCTCCTTCTCTTTCTCTCACACGCAGCATACATCTCTCATTCTACTCCTCCCCATGGCTCTGTTGTTCCAGAAAAAACAAAAACAAAAGACACACAGCAAACCAAACCTACTTGTTACAGCAAAGCCTTTACTTCCTCGCAGATTTAGTCTGTGGTTGCCGGAGCAAAAAGCAGCAGCTGTGTCCCGTCTCTGGATTCATAAGGCTTCATAAGGTCGCTTAGTTTGAGTGTCCACCTGTTTTAGAAAGTCTCCAAAGAGCATGTGGCGATGGACAGTTTCTAGCAGGTTCCGCCTCTGACGTACGGCTTCCTAAAGTCATTTTGACTAAAGAATTCATCATTCATGCCATCGCAGACGGGATAGTGGGACAAATAACCAAAATAAACCGTAAAAAGCAAATATGTTTATAATCGTATAACCATTGTCACAAAAAAGAGAGAGAGACCTGAGTGGCGTTAGTATAGTATTTGGAGCTTTCCATCCCTATAATGTTGAACGTCATCAGAAAGCACCTCAGCTTTTCAACATCGGGATGACTGCTGCTCATATGTTTGCAAATGATGTTAATTGTACGCTGCTCATTCTTTGGGGGCGAAGAGCGGTCTTGTCACCCATGTACAGTCCCTGGTGACTAAACGTTCTGCCCCTTTGCTGTTATGATCTTGTATTGTGTAGAAATGGCAATTTAGGAAATACCTCTCGTTGAAAGGGCATGAAACCAGCTCATCATTGGAGCAGAATAATTCATGGGTATTTTATTACAAGTCCGGGCTACTTGCCATGGATACGCTCTTTGAGTTGACAGCAGGTAGCACTTAAGTGTGATTGTTTGGTTTGATGGAGAAAGAAGACAGAGAGCGAGAGACAAAGAGAGCCCCGTCGACATCACTTCCCTCTAATCCTCTTTGTTCTACACCTGGCTGCCGTGCTGGCGATGAATAAATGACCTAGATTTCTCCTCTAGCGCATTCATACTCACAGCACAAAACATAATGAATCAGTTGGTGGAAATATATATATATATTTTATCGTCTGACAGCGCTCAAACTGAGATGGAGGACCAGCACGGATATTTTAAAAACATGATTGAGAAAAAAGTGTGATTTCTTTCTATTTTTTCCTTTCCTTTTGAGGATATCAGAACAAACCCGTCACAAACCACATTGTAACATGGTTACAGCCAACACGACGCCGGCAGCCGAGCTATATATACTTTTGCTGTGTTGTTTTATGTTCACCTATTCAGATGGGAGTGCAGCCCACTGAGTAATTTCCTCCGGCAATGCACAAAAACACCAACACAAACACCAGTATTCCAATGGCTGAGGATCGGTGCGGACTATAGGGAGAGTTTTTGAGATCTTTGGTCAAGAGTTGTGGTTCATCCTGAGGAAACGCTGCAGAACGCGGTTTAACGTGGCAGCAGCTGACGTTAAACGCTCCGTCACAACTACACATCTCTGCAGGGATCACATTTTCAGATCCGCCTCACCGCGTTTGGAGGAAACCACTGCAGAGGAGTGCATGTGTGTCTGTCATTGGCATGTGCGTGTGTGTGCATGCGTGTGTGTGCATGTGTGTGTGTGTGTGATGCTGGGCGAAAGGCAAAATGTAGAAATCTGTCTACTACTCAGGACAACCGTACCAGGAATATTCTCATTAAGCTAAAATTAGAAGACACATGTCCCCCCCCCCCTCAAGTATAATGCCAAGTCCCCTGATTCCCCCTTCACGTTCCCTCTCCAAATCGCCTGTTCCCCTCCTCGCTCATCTCTTAACATGGATGAATGCTATTTCCCATGCAGGAAATCCCCAAGGGCACAGGAAAGCAGGAAAGGAAATGCCACTTCTCACCTGCTTGGGAGGAAGGAGGCGCGGGCACAGGATGGGGGGGCAGTCAGAGCCGATCCGTCGGGTGCGGGAGGCAAAAGCTCCTAATCTCTGTGACATTCCAGAGCTCTCGTCGAAGCCTGTGAACTGCTTGCTGTGCTGCAGGAGGAGGCTGAGGGGGACGGACAGACATCGGGGCAGAGATAGACAAAAGCGGACAATTAAGCTCTGTGTTGCATTAGTTAAAGGATGGGAATTTCTAAAAAGCTGCAAATGTTGGATTAGATGATTTGCTTATTAAAGAGAGGGAAGCCTCTACTCCGGGCCCGGTTTCTTCTCTCTCGCTCGTCTGCACCACATCCTCTCTGTTAAAAATGCAAACATCCCCGGCCTGAGACGATGCTCGCTGCATACTGAGTCCCTTACGGTGCCCCCCCCCCCTCGCCTGTGGTCTACGGCAACGTAAATTTAGATGCCACACTTGTGACGGCTGTCATGGGCAGCTGGGCAATTCAGCCCTCCCCCGTTGCGCTTGGACTCTGTGATAACCGCTGAGCAGCAGCTCCCTGTCAGTCCACACCTTGGACACCCTCTCTGTTCATACGCTCCCACTGCACAGCCAACCTCCTCCTGGATTCATCCAAGCGTGGACATCCCTTGAGCGTGGTACCTAGCAGGTGCCACATGTTCCTGCAGGCCTGAGGGAGAGAGAGAGAGAGAGAGAGAGAGAGAGAGAGAGAGAGAGGAGGCAGACGGAGAAAATAGCACAGGTTCATTTTATAACTTGCAAAAAAGAATGCAAATGTTTCAGAGAATATAAAACCTTTAATAAATAAATCTAGACTTTTTGTCGAGCTTTCATGTGGGTTAAACGCGGCGCACGTCCCTCGGTGTCCGTTGGACGCCCGCCTGTCCTTGGATGAAACAGAAATAACAGTAGGAGCAGAAAGAAAAATCAGGTGTCCTGAGTCCTGTTTTCTTCAGTCTAACAATAACAAGTGGGATAAAACGTAAGAGTGCCCTTGATAATGTCCTAAGAATAAAGTACATGAAACTATTTTTTTTCCCCAGACTTTGGATGACTTTCACATCAGGGCATGTGATGAAATAGCTTCAGTTGTCCCTGCAACAGCCGCAGCGAGGTGAATGCCTCAAAGTTTTTGTTTCATCGCAACGGATGCTTGGCTGAGGTGATTCGCTAAGGACTCATTTCAATAAGACCCAGACAAATACCTAAGCATTTAAATTACGCCCCGTGTTTGCACTGAAGATTATATTATTAATCCACAAAGACAGAGGATTACGGTTTGTGGTCCGACTGATTCAGAATGCACAGCTGGGAGAAAAAAACCTAAATTGAGGTCACATTATTAAAGTCCAGGGTTTGTGCCCGCTGTCCTTTATCTAGATTTGTCACAGCATCAATAGCTTATCAGAGCTACAGCTGGATGATTGGACTTGTACTTACTGAGGATAAACCACATGTGTGATGCATGTTGTCCTATTGAGAATGATCACTGTTGTGTGTTTGGTTCTGCTTTGGTTCATTTTGAGAATTAAAACACACACACGCAAACTTTGCGCAAAGGTATTTTCACTTAATCTGCCTGATGAGACATATAAAGGCTGTGCTTAATCCTTTGTTAAATGCAATGTCAATGGGTCCATTTACAGCCTCATCAGTGTCTCATTTCAACAGTGTGTTCCAAATACTTGTCGCTCTAGTATTTTTTAATGTTAAGTAATCAACATTCTAAAACCCTGTCATACTACAACAATTACAGAAATCGAACAGTGTCAGACGTTATTCAAGCTGCAACTTCAGATAAAAAACTTCAGATTATTTGTTAGGTTAAATTTAACAAAGGTAAAGTAAAAAGTTTTTTATAACGTCATTGTTTCACCACTCTCCATATAGGGTTTGGATTTTTCCAGTAAGCAGCGTCATCATCTATTTTGTGCATTGCATCATGGGAGAATACCCCCATAGTACACATCAACAGTGCAGTTTAATGTACACTCTTGTGTATACATTGTTTGAGTATACTTAGATTTTTTTATTTGTTCAATGTGAGCACATTAAAAACCAAAAATGTTTTATTGGTTCTATTTTATTTTTGATAGAACTGCTATTCGAGGAGTTTGAGGATCCCCACACAGCATTAATGTGAGCACAGGATTTAAATAGCTAAATTCAGTTGAATGCTAATATTTTGGGTCGTGCCAGGGTCTTTAAATAAAAACTCTTTAGCAGGCGATTGAATATGATTAACAGATCAAATGATTATGAATAAATGGAATTTGGGGAGTTGGTGAGTTATAAAGGCAAATACAATTGCTCTTTTCATACTTTTATTTCATCTCATTAGACTGAATCAACTTTCCTCCAGTGATGAAGTCAAGACTGATCTAAAGTCTAAGTCATTGCTCTTGTATCGTAGACCAGAAGGTGGCAGTCAAGCACACAAACACACGGACACACACACGATGCACAACTTGCTGTGCAATGAGCTGCAAAGTGAATCTAAGGAATGATATTTCAGCCACATTGAATTGAGAAAAAAATCAAGAATATATGTTGTCCTCTTCCCTTTGAATATCGGACCGGAGGTGATTTCTTTCTTAATACACCAGATATTTACTAATACCCCTCAAACCAGTTGATTTTCCCGGTGTGATGTATACAGCTGCTATAAAGAATGATTATTCATGCCAGTCAATTATTTTACATGTAACTGTTTATATGAAAATACTGACAAAAAAATGTATTTTTGTGCACAGAAGGTATCTGGAGCAATGATATAAATTGTCTGCATTACCTGAAAAACGGATCCGTTAAATCATTGTTGATCAGATGAGCATTAGATGCAGAAGAGGGCGGCGGGGAAGACAATGGGAAAGCTTAACAAGTTTCAGGATTCGCGTCCATCTATTGGATGACAGATAACAATCGCGCCGAGGAACGGTGAGGCCGGGCGTCTCCGTCCCACCCCTCTGCACCCGTTGCGGGCTTGTGATTGGACGCCGCTCTTGCCATTCCCCGTACGTACGCCCAGGTTAGGTTGCTCTGCACCGTCCGAGATGCTCAGCTGATGGGCGTACCGGAGCCGTGCGGCGACAGGAGACACCGCGTTCACGCGTTTCCGTCGTGGCAAAACAACAACAACAACAACAACAAAAAAGAAACCATGTTATTTTCTGGTTACATCACCGCCGGCTGCTGGTCCGCGCGCGACCCTCTTCCCGGAGCTCAGCTGGCTCTCCTCCCGCTCCTCCTCCTCCTCCTCGCGCACGGCGACAAGCGGGTCGGACGATGCTCTTGCTGCGTTGTAAAGGGAAAAAACCCCACGAAAGAATAACAACACAAAGCAGTGCTTCGCCGCCGCGTAATCCGCGCGTAATTGTCTCATCCGGATGAGGGTATATTCGCTTTTCCCCGCACGCACTTTTTTCGGGTGGTGGACGAAAATTGGGTGAAACGCACCTGCCGCGATAGGGAGCACACGGACGCCTGTTTCCCTGCCTGCACCCGCCAATCCACGTCCACGACGGAGCTCTTCTTCGCCGTGGAGCGCTCGCAGTTCTTAAGTGTTTACTCCTCGTTGGGGGGGGGGCGGCGGCTTCGATCCAGCGCGAGTGTTGTGGGGGATCACAGCTGATCGCCCCTCCTCTCTCCCGGGACTTGAATAAAAAAAAAAAACGCGCTCCATTTGACTCCTCCACACTGGATCGCGAAAGCCGGAGTCTCAGTTCCAGCTGTGCGTTCAACGCCGCTGGACGGAGCGCGAGCGGGCTGTGACATTTGTGTTTTTCGGGTGGGTTGCCACCTTCACCTTTCCCCCCGGCCAGGCTCCCTCCACGCGCTCGCCATATTTAACCGAAGGCCGTATTAATTGTATTTGTTGTCATTGGCGAAGCGCAGAAAGAGAACCCCGGCTTTGTGCAAGGAAGGTTTTTTTTTTCCATCTCTGCAAAATGCTCCGTCCGATCGCCTCTCCGCGTGGGAACTAAATATTCTTCTTTGCTCTTTTTTTGTTGGTACTTTGCGCGGGGGGATGATCCTTGATAAAATAATCAGCGTCGCGGTGTCAGCAAATGCCTGAGCTACAGAGGGATTTGTGCAGATTATCGCCGGACTGCTATTTTGTTGCCTCGGTCGCGCTCTTTAACTGAATGTGAGCGGCTTTTGCTCTGCAGCCTTTCCCCCCTGCAGAGCCCCGGCCGCCCGGAACCTCCGGCGGGGACGCCTGTTTAACCAGCCACGCTATTCATAGGGGAAGGGAGGAAGAGGGAGGAGGGGAAGCGAACCGTGTTTTTTTTTTTTGCATTCGCGAGCAATGACAGCCACAGAGGTGTGTGGACCCAGATCTGAGGACACGCCGAGTCGGGCGCATCTGTCCCCACGTGGATCCGACGGGTACGAGACGCGCTCCGACCGGGCTGAGGCTCCGCTGTTTCCTCGCAGGCTTCCCGGGATTCCGCCGCTGTGACCCGGGAGACTAACGAAGCGCCACAGCAGCGACCCGCTTGAACCGCTTGTCCCCCTCCCTGTCCCCGTCCCCGTCCCATCGGACCCGTTTCCACTCTGTACCGGGCGGCTACCGGAGGATGTGTGAGCCAGGATGCTGCGCTTCCCCGTGAAGAAGATCCGGAAGCAGTTCAAGCTCTTGCTGCTGCTGGTGCTGCTCACCTCCGCCGTGTGGTTCACCTACCTGCACATCAACCAGGGCAAGAACATCAAACTCCACTTCAACTACGGGAAAGGTAGGCTGTGTATCCATCTGACCCCCCCCTCCTCACATTTAACAGCCCCTAATGAAAACTGTGCCTGACGCCCCGTAGGTGATGCCATAAACTAGTGCAGCACCACTACAAAGTGCGCTGAGCTCCTGCATGAATGTTCTAAGAACGCGACAGTTGACAATGATGCTTCCCGGCACAATAAGGCCACCGCCACCGTAAACACACTAGTTACAGGTCTAAGGAACAAAACTCACCATGAGGTCACTACACACCCTCCAAGTCCCTTTTTATCAACACTGTTGGGTGCTTCGATTTCTAACAAACGTGCCCCCTGAAACAACAACAACAACTGCTGACTTCTCGTTGACCCCTTTTCGGGTGCAGCGTGATGGGAGGACCAGAGAGGAGGCAACGTGTGTCATGAATTAACAATGGTTTGCCTATCCGGGGCTAAGCAGAGAGCCCCGCGGCGTCGGGTCGGGTCGGGTCGGGAGGCCAGACCCCCGCCTTCAACATTAATAGTCAAAGGGGCTGTTCGCCGAGGTGGCTCCGGGGGTCACAGGCGTGCCAGTCAGGGGAAGGCCGCTCCCCACCTGCTGCTGCGACAGCTCCTGTTACCAAGGCTTGATGAAGGCGGTACCGGCGGATAGTGCAGAGAACAGCTATTTAATGAAAGAAATGCTCGAACGTGGTGCCGGGGTGAAGTGACTTGCCATCGTGTACTACGGATTCGTCATGGGGCGGCGGTGTGCACTTATCTCCTGCAGCTGTTGGCGTAAAGTGATACCCAATGATTATGATGTCCTTGAAGAGTAGACACACACACACGCGCGCAGAGGATGCACTGACACACAGGGATCATTTATATTGTCTTTGATCTCAGCCGTGGGCTTTAACTCAATTTAGTTTTCTGATGATTCCTGAATCTGACATAATAACAATAATAATTCTTGCAGATAGTAAAGTTGAGCCGAGATAATCAAGCTGACTCGTCTGTATACAGGTGCTCTAAATATTGCGTCACACACGTACAGACACTGATGTCCACGTGATGAACAGTCACTCTCACACAAGTACATTTATTGCACCGTGCATCCTCTAGTCTCTGTGACTTTTGCCGTCGCCGCGGTGCCGTTTGCGTGCTGATATTTCTATGACGTGTGTTTTCCTGCATTCAAACGTCCCTCTAAGAGTCGGCTCCTCTGCTGCGGCCGTCCGTCGGAGAAGGAAGCTGTCGTGCTGTACTTTGCTGGTCTGTGCGTCTAATTGACTGTCCTCCGTTTAGCAGGTGTGCGAGCAGGTCAACTCACTTAACCTCTTATGAATAACACGTCCCCTCTCGCGCCAAAGGTTTCTAAGTGAGATGTAGCCATTGCTGAAGATGGGGCTCCATGAAGTGTGTAAATATTCATATTAGGCTGGCTGTATCTCGCCACACACACACACACTAACACACACACACACACACACACACAGATCTTTCATTCTGAACACTGAGTTGGGTAATTATGCCAATTCAGGTTTTCAGGTTTCGTCTTTGTTCTCCTTTTATTATAATATGAAACAATAATTTGTCAAGTTCTGCCGGTCCCTATCCTGGAGGAAATTGAATTAATCGGAGCCAATTCCTCTCCCCATCACACGTATCAGACAGATTGCTGAGAGTAGTTCATCCACTGGTTTAATGTCTTCTTGGCAAACGACCATCATATTTATGAGAAAGACAAACGTCCGGTTTGAAGTAGCCCAGTGCGGCTGCATCCGTCTACTCGTGAATGATGACAAGTGCACAGCTGAGCAGATGATTTTATACAAAGTGGGTCGACACACAAACGCGGCAAACAAACGCTCCCTGGTAAGGAATTCAAGGGAATCTCACAGAAAACGCATTTTTTGAAACCTTTGCAATGGATTTTTGGGCAATGCTCTGCAACTCGCTTTGTCTTCTCCTCTGGTTGAGCCATCGCTACCTTTTTTTTGTGTGTACGGACCTCCTTGTGTGTATCGCGGTAGAGACGTAAAGGAGATGAAAAAAAAAAAAGTGGCATGGAAAATCTCTGGGTGAACTCTGCGGACCGGCTGGCCAGAATCCGGGCGCAGCAGTCAAAGGGAGCATTCTTGGCGGATGTTGATTCCTTCAATAGGAGGGTCGTTTCTACCCGGCTGGTGACATTTACAGCCTGAGGTTTAAAGAGTTTTTGCTTGAGTCAAGTGCGACCCAACCAGTGTTTTACCGATTGCATAATGGAAACTCGATGCTCTACACACTTCATTTCGTTGATGCACACGTCATTAGTCAAAAGTAATATTTGAACGGGACATTCAAAAGAATACGATAACTGCACGATGAGCAATGCCAATTGGACCGTTGGGAATGTGCGAGTGTTTCTTTTAAACATTCGTTTATCTTTTCTTTAAAGCCAAGGTAGCTGTTGTTGCTTTGATGTGTGGAGCCACAAAGGTGTAATTAAATAGTTTTTCAGATTGTACACTGGCCAGACAAGTCTTATTTAATCCGAATTCAATGAGGAAGTGTGTTGGCAGGAAGTGCTGCGGGTGCATATTAGATGAATGTCACATTTATGCGGCCACCCAGTCGTGCAACAGCTCCCCTGTTTTCCAGCATCGACAGGTCCGAGGAGGAGGAGGAGAAGGAGGAATGCCGGTTGGCTGCTGCATACAGGCCCCCATTGATCAACTATGATTACATATGAGGAGCCGCACGCACATGCATACACTTAATCACTCCCACACAAACACACAAATATGTTTCCTATATTTTTGTAAAACGGCACACAAAACGCATCCACTCCAAATCATCACCTCTCAGAAGGGACGAGGAGGAAGTCAGCGGAGGAAGTCCCCGGGGCCTCGACAGATTGGCTGCCTGGTTGCCCATGGAGACGGCATATGGCAGAGGAGCGTGCTGGGCCGGTGGGATGTTTTCAAGCTTATTTTATCAAGGCCGATGGATTCGCCGATTGTGAGGAAGCTTGACTGCGTTGAGACTAAAAATAAAGCACTCAACGCGTGGACGCAGCTTCACTGTATGTTACAGTGAAGTGCCTCTGGAGGGGGAAGGTAAAAGTCACTCACGGAGCCGCACGCGCGCGTTCAGATCGAAACACTCGGATGTAGTTGCGGTATCCAGTTTTATTCGGCTGGTTGTATTTGCACAGCGACGCCCTCAGGCTGGCCGGCTGTCATGGTAACGGGGCCCTCGGATGTCATTTACCCTAATTTTAGCTCCTTTGGTTCTCACCGTCGGTCGACCTCAACTCAACCAACTCGATATTTGTGTGTGTTTGTGTGCTTTATCACGTACACAGCACCTTTTTTCAATATCTACTTTTAATTTATTCATGCAACATTTGAATATCATGAATTACCTTTTGGTGTTTTTAAATAATGCAGCTGCTCGGCGCCCACTTGCCCCTTCGATGGAACAGAACAGCTGTTAATGGGGGAGAGAATAAGAATAAGAACATGAAATACTTAAATAAGCTACTTTGCTTGCTTAGTAAAAATAAATTTCCCAGGTGGTTGCGTTCTACAGCTCCGGTGTGTTCTGACGGCTGAGTTCATCAGCTTTTACACGGAACCTAGCGTGGTGCAGCTTTGCAAGTCTGCAGCAATAAAGTGGTTTGGATCACATCTGCACCCAGCTGGGTGGCGGAGCTTCCATATCTTACAAGGGCCCAGCATTCCTAAATACAAGTATCAGCAGGAGACATTCTGAGGTGAGTTATAAAACTAGCTTGACTAATGTGGTAATTTATATTCCTTCGATCCCTACTGTTTGTCTTAACAGCAATACTTCATCTAGAAACCTGGATTTTTCTTTTTTTTCATGTTTCATTAACCTGAAAACTGGCATATTAAGTACAATCCAATCATTTCTGATTCGAACACTCGAGAAAAGAAACTATATTATATATGTAAATAGGTCCGGTCACTTAAACTGTATGTCCTGCAAAGGGCTGGTTCATAACGGCATGCGGCCCATTGTTAGCTGGTGTCGGTGGAGCTGTGATGGGTGACTGTCAGATCCTCAACCGTGAATCCGCCCTACAGTCCATCCGACCAACCCGGTAAATCTCTCCCCCTCTGTGTAATACCGCAGCTCGAATGAATGACGTTCCCATGACATCTCAAACGGCCTCTTCCCCAGTGCGCCTACAGACCCGCGTGGTGGAGCAGGAGTCTAACAGGAGGCCATGTTACCTCACGATCCATCTCATCTGCAAATGCGGTCGCTGACTCTTTATTGTCTGCACTGTCATCTTTGTGCAACTCGGTGAGTTCGTACGCTCGTGTGATCTGCTCCCTCGACGAAGCATGTTTTGATTTCTCGATAAAGCAAATGCGCACACGGTGCAGCCGGGTGGCATGCATCCAAAATCTTATTCACGCGTCCGCTGTGCATTCCACAAACCCCGGTAAGTGCCGGTAACATTTACAAATGTGGATGCAAGACTGGGAGAGGGAGGGAGTTTTTTTTAGTTGGCGAGGTAAGCAAAAGCGCTGGAGAAACACAAGTCCACAGTGTGTTAACCTTGAGGTTAATGAAATTTGTGTTGGCCTTGCCTAACAAGCCACCATCAAGGTACCAGCTCTGCCCCATGCAGATGAGAGTGCTGGCTCACTGCCACGGCTTTGCTGCAGGAGATTTTTGTGTAAAAGCGAGCAAATTGTGTTTGTGTGATGTAGCTTTTTTTTTTTTTTTCTTCTTCTTCCGAGCCTGTGAGCGCGCACCTCCCCGATCCCGCTGCCGTCTGCACTTTAGCCCCGGTGTTTACCCGAGCAGAAGAGGGAGCAGCTGAATGATGGCACTGTCTGCCCGCCGGCTCCGCGGCGATGGTGGGAGGGCCGGCCCTTTGGGGGAAGGGGGGGGGGGGGGAAACGGGGCAGAAGAAGGACACCCTTCTCACGCAACAGGTGGGATGCGCAGCAGGGTGCATCATGGGAACCGGCCCCATGCGGCGTACAATCAGCGTTATCTGCTTGTACCTGGAAACTGG